TTGAAACTTAATGTTGTCATTTGATTAATTAGTCCGTGCCTCATTGGCCATAAGTTTAATAGAGCTGAACGCTGAAACTTGCCAGTCAGCGCTTCTCATGTGAATTTCAATTTTACTATTTTCCGAACGAAATAATTCCAAAACAATTGCCTAGGCCTATAAGCATTTCGATGTACACCCATTCAAGAAAAATCGGCCATCATTATTTGAGTTGTCAATGATATGTTGTTCCAATCAAGCTTCTTGTCCAAATTCCAGGTTGGTATGCTAACACTACAAAATATCACATCGGTAGTACGAAGTCTCCGTAGTCTCCGTAGCTGTAGGCCTAACGTGTCTCTTTGGATTTGAGAGGCAATGAATTGTATACGCGGTCACCAATGCTGCCACTGCACGAGTGAAAAACCGCGGCGGTTGGTGAATAAAACTTGAAAAACTGCACCCAGGCGAATGGTTCACAGGAAGACTCAAAAAGCCAGTTTTCACAGCTATACACTGGACAGCTGGCGGAATTCATAGCTCGATCATGGCATCGACAATTTTGTTCTCTTGTTTTTAGCAAAATGGATTTTGGAGAATGTAGGCCTAATTAAGGGGAGAGCATAGATAGAGAATAGACTTGAAACTTAGGATTTGTGTATGAATCAGTGGCTTATCCAGCTTTTGGTGGGGCGGATTCAAAAGCGAACTCGGCTTATGATGTTGAGGCGAAGAAGAAAAAAATCAAAAGCCCATACTCACGATTGATCCTGACAAAGTTTATTTACTGGTGTTGTTTTATTGGGGTTTGATAGACAAATTTACCAATTACGTTCGTTCCTACTCAAATATGACGTATTCTATGTAAAAAATAACAACAACAAACAAACAAAAACAAGAATCTGTCGGGGGGGGGGACAAGTTGTCCCCCTGCCCCCGCTAGATACGCCACTGGTATAAACATGGAGGTAGGTACTACTAGTAGATTCGCATTGCACGTTCTCGGTGCACGGATGTACAATCTTCGTCCATAGAGTCGACATTAAGCGCTGAATATACCTTACAATATTCACAATACATACATATTGTTTATCATGAGGTTGTAATTCGGTCAATAATGATCAAGGGGATGCCAGTTATCCACATATATACACTTTGTGTAACTGTTTCAATAAAGTAATATTACGTGGAAAATAAAGTGAACTGAACTGAACTGAGTTCATCATTGCTTCGTTGTTGAGCCACAGTGTGAAGTGAAAACGTGGCATGGGGACGTCATCAACAGTACACGACGACTGTTTCCTGAACTGGGATTGGCCTAGTTCCCTGCTCTTACTACCATGTCTAACATATGGAGCGCACTTTCACCACGGATCAACAGACTATTCGTCGGGTAACAGATCTCTAAATCTGCAGCGCGACTGGGACCACAGATTTGTGCAGGTAAAATTAATTATTTTTGCTTTTCTTTCAGTCTCATTTTGTGGATTTTCGACTGTAACCACTGTGAAGCTGTGCCATACTGCATTATTGTCAGTGCACTTTCCACGTTCTGATGCTGTACTTTGCATATTTTATATTATTACACTACCCACAGCGGACATCGGAGGTCCTAAATTGTACACAATGCTGTTTACCAGTTGCAGTATTGCAGATTAGCGTTTGTCATTGCCAGAAATTAAAGTTTCAATCTCGATCAGGGCTTTTTTAGGTGATTGCCGATTTGGGGGATTGTAAATTGGGGGACCGTGTTCTTATAATAGAAGGGAGAGTTACATTTTAACGTTTGAGTTGACCTTGGTAGACTGTGATAGCCTGTGACATCATGCTCAATAACTGCAGGGTTAATTTTGTCAAAAAATTGCAGGGTTTTGAGGGAAATTTTGACGGGAAACTGAGTATTTGAACACATGACAAATGGTGAAATAAAATTTGCACGTTAGCTTATTACTCAGTAAAAAAAAGCCACATTTTCTCTCAATTTCTATTTGAAATTTCAAAAAAATAGGGTCAGCACAATAAAGAGAGTGTTGCCTTTCTTTTTGGGGAAGGGGAGACTTACCAGTTTTGCAAGACTAAAATGTCAAAGACCATTTTGCCATGTTTGGAATATTTTGGCTGGTCCATGTTTGGAATATTTTGGCTGCTACATGTATCATGGATGTTTTCCTATCTCCGAGCATGTACTACATGTATGTCTATGCAGGCCTAGGCCTACTCCCAGAGCAGCACTTGTTAGCCACACTCCATGACCGTGTGACTCTCAGGTCCACATTTTTATTTGTTCGTAACACTATGGGATTTTGAATGTGCCTACTTATTTGGCCTAAAACTGCACTTTATCAATAAAATCTTCCCCCCAAATGCCTGAACACGCATGCTTAATGGTGTTTTGACCGTATAACCAGCTATTTTTTTCAAAATTCAGATATTTTACTTATGATCCTGCTTCTCTTCACAACGATTCACATATCTGAGCTGCATACTGTGGCGTATGTCCGTGGAAACAAAGACTGGCTCCCGTCCCAGTCCTCCAACCAGTCCAAAGTCTGACAGTCCGACCTGTCTAATGACATGTGAAGTATCCTGTCATGGGCAACCTCAATTCCACGGGCTGTGTGCACGTTCCTTCACTGGGCATCATCGTAGCACGGCAAGATCGTTCCCATGGGACCGAGGTTGCTTTATTGGACTGGTCACTGTCCCTGTTATATACATGTACGTTTGGAGGACTGGGATGGGACGGGAAACCAGTTCCCTGTATCAACGGACATTCACCACAGTATGCAGCTCAGATATGTGGATTGTTGGTGAAGAGAGGCAGGATCATAAGTAAACTCTCACTGTGTCCATACATGTACATGTGGTAGGAGTTAAGGATCCAGACACAGTGTTCTTGCCACCAAACGCAGCAAATTCTTTAATGGCAAGTTCATTCATTCAGCTTAAGAAACTGAAGTCTGTGACTGCAAATTATTTACACGTATGTCGGGTAATAGTTATTTTTAAAGTTAAGAATCATTCCATGATGGCTAGATACAACAATGCTTTCAGAACCGTGGAAAAGAACACTTAGACTGAAACTATGAGTGCTGAATAGTACATGTACACAAAATAAAACATATCAGGGACTCTAAGTCCATTTGCTGTCTTTGGCGACAAAGCTAACATTGTCTGTGGTTGTTGTGTTACCAGTCACCATGATGGAAGAAGTAACGAGTGATGATCACGCAGCCACACCCCCACCGGCCTCACCAGGTACGTCTACGTTTGATTGCATTGGCTTTCCATACAATCAGCAGCACCACTGAGTTGTGTGTGTGGGCACAATGTGGTTCTTTTATCACACAATCAAAAAGTACTTTTAAAACTGTCATCATTGCCACGTTTTTTTAAGAGTTGAAAGAAAATATTTTTCATTTGCTCCTAAAATAGTAAATGACATATTTTGAGAGATTACTGAACTTATCACGAGTCAACGCCAGGATAGAGTTGACGTCACCTGCTTTTTTTAACCAGTCTTTTTCAACATCTTTCACTTTGTGCTCTTAGGCAGTGCTCAATGTAGATTTTGTGTAGGATAAGTCACCTGTATACGTACTTCCAGAAAGTTCTAACCTACGTACGTACTTCCAGAAAGTTCTAACCTACATGTACGTACGTACTTCCAGAAAGTTCTAACCTACAGATTACAATTCTCTGAAGCATACTTGTATAATTTTATTTCCATGTTTTTTGTACTTCTCTCTGCAGTTTCAAGTGTGGCCCCCCCTGTCAATCCATTGACCCCGTCAACCTACGTTCCCCCTCCCCAGCCCTCTCAGATGTACGTTCCCCCACCTCTTGCCTCCCAAGCTGGGACTCAGCCGCAGGGTTTCACTCCATCCCAGGATGCATCGCAACCTCAGTCCCAGGTGTACACTCCATCCCAGCATCCCCTGTCGCCAGGCACACAGTCAGGCCAGGTAACAGTCAAAATGTAGGCATGTTTAGACTGCTGTGAAATTGCCCATCAAAGAAAAAGGAAGTTATCCACTCAGTTCAGACTTCACAAGAAGTTTCTGTCACAATCCTAGGATTTCCCAAGCTTGCGAGTGTTTCAATCCATGGAACTTTAAAAAAGATATGTAGGAGATGTTGTGCCAAAAAAGACCCACAGAAAGTACATGCATACCATGGCAGTAGCCACTAGACCTTTCTGTTATTGCCGATGCATTTCATGGCTGGCCAAAGTTTGCGGAAAGTTCATGCTTGGTTTGTAACTGGTTTTGCCTCAAAATGCACATTCACCCAATAGATGAAGTTTGTTTCATTTGGGATCTAGTTGTAGAGTGTTTATCCTTTGGTGGTGTTGGGAAGCCTAGGGCGTTTTTTCAACACTTTGGTTGATTTAAATGATCGTTCGCGTTGGCCAGCCATAGTTTGCCAATTACCGTTAGCATAGGCAAAGCCTAAAACTACATGTATGACATAGAGAAAAAGTCTGATGGCTTAGGAAGGGAAACAGGCCTATGAATGGCAATATATAGGAAATCAATACAAAATAGTGGATCAATCAAATCATTTTTTTGGGCTGAGCCTAAATAAATGTACATGTGTTTTTCTTTGCCTTTTCCCTCTTCTTTAGCAGGGGGCAAGTACTGCCGTCTCGGTACCCTTTGAAGACAACACGTCTCCTTCACCCAACCACCAGGGGGCGTATCAAAGCCAAGCAGGTGGTGGAGGGGGTGGGGGCTTATTTGGCTGGGGGAGTAGCTTCATGAAGAAAATGGTAGAGAAGACCAAGGTAAGATGGGCAGTCATGTTAGTGGTTCTGTTGCAGGTGGCTCCCAGGACACCTTGACATTTGGGTGAGTCAGTCTCACTTCAATCATGCAGGTGTTCCCATGGAGTATCCTGGACTTACACCTCACTGACTCTGGTTCAAACCCTGATTTGAAGGGTTCTCTTTTTTTTCCTTTCCAGAGTTCCGTAGACTCGATGATCACAACCTTAGACCCAGGAATGGCACCCATCATAAGTAAGTTGACGTCTCACAACCATGTTTGAGAATAGTCCTCCCTGCTTCCAAGCTGTTTTGCTTCTTTAACTCACTTTCAACCTGTAGTAAGCATGCTGAACTGAGAGAGACTATGTTGCAGACCTGCATGCTGAAACAAATTGAGAAAAGTTTTGTATGGGTTGGAGGGTTCTTTTTTAGACTTCCACTTTCATGTACTGAATTTCGGCCTGCTGTGACCAAAGGCTTCTGGTTTTTGCTCCAGTAGCCACATGTTTGCAGGAATTAATTTTATCGTGCAACGATTTGCAACCCACAGAATCAGGGGGTGATGTGTATGTTGTTGTGGCATCCGACAAGGAGGTCAAAGTGGCTGCCGTGCGAGATGCCTTCCAGAAGGTGTTCGGTCGGGCCACGGTTGTGGGCAAGCCCGGCCAGTCCAACATCGCCCCTCAACCCGAGGGGTACGCGGCGGGGAGCAAAGGGGCCCAGGAGAGGATCGATAACCTCAGGCGGAACGGCTTTGTGGACGAGAGGCAAACTGTGGTGTCCGTCGAGAACTTCATCGTCGAGCTTCTGCCTGAGAAGTGAGTTAGAAATCAGAAATGCAGGACATTGTCCTAACTGTTGTAAAGCTTGATTGTTAATTGTTCTGGATGGAAGGGAAACTTTGATGTAAATATGTTTAAAATGGGAGAAAGTAGTCTTTGGGTGGTAAATGAACGTGTAGTTCATTTTAGTTTAGAATTTTAGTTGCTTTAGAACAAAGTGGTTTAAAAATTCTGTTGATTTCATTTTTGTAAATTTGTCATGCTCTGAAGTACTGGAAATCGTATTTCATTTTCTGGCCACCTATTTCAATATGATTTTTACATACACCCTAGGGGGTAAAGGTCAAAGGACTTGTTCCTTCCCATTTTTTAGATCTTTATCTTTGGTTTATGGAAAGGTGACTTTGATGACTTTGTTGTTTTCATCAGGATTTGCTATTGGGAATTTTATTTGTGGCTCAGTATCTCATATCTGCCGGGGAGCATTTGGATACTGTCAAAAGACCCTTATTTATCGACTTGGGATGCTGTTTAGTGCTTTGTATGGTCATTGTCAGGGAGAGTGTTATTAAACTAACCTGTTTTTCTCTGGCTTGTAGGTGGTATGACATAGGTTGCGTGTTGCTTCAGGACCCTGTTTATAACATCTCCTTAGAAGCCTTCACCCAGGCCACGCCTGTCCCCTTTGACCTTGTGACCTCGGCGCAATCCCAGACACCCCCAGACTACACCCTGCGGTGGTCAGGGCTGGCTGTAACCATTGGTGAGGTGATCGAACGTGACATGCCGGGGGTGAGCCGTGCTGACTGGCACGTGGCATTCACAGGGGTGTCACGCCGGGATATGATCTACAGCACGGCATTAGCACTGGCTGGCATGTACCAGCTCAGGTTACCACTGAAGGCAGACACAATATAGCAGCACCAAAAGGGAAAGACAGAATTAAGATCAAATTCTCCCAACCCAAACTCTGTAGTAGAAACAGAAGGAGTTCATCAGGGAGATGATAACTTCAGCTGAGTTGCTTGTTGAGAGAATTTAGTGTTTCTTAACTGATCCATACGTACACTTCAATGAAGTCAAGATTGGTAAGAGTTAAAGGTTCTTACTAGCATTCATTTTCAACTTTTTTACAAATTTGATGTTACGTCCATTTACTCCCTTGGTTTGTTACCCATGATGACGACTCAAGCCCAAATTATACAAACACTCTCTGAACCCATTAAGATAACCAGGTGGCTATAGTTCGCAACAGGAGAGAGTTTATTATAAGAAATCAGGGTGCTGATCGAAGTAAAAGTTGGAGCACGAAAAGGACTTAAAATTTCGGTTTGAAGTGGTCAAACTTAATCTTGATTACACCCCTACTTGGTGACAATGGTTCACATAGCACAGTCTGCAAAGTGTAGAATGAGACAAATATAGGACTGTAAACACCAATGTTTACATGGGACTGGCACTGAAAGAGGTTGGAAGCGAACAAGTATTCAGTTTGTAATTCTTTGTGTTTAATTTGGAGTTGCTGAGCAACAGACAAAAGCCACATGTGATAGTGCAACTAGGGTCTAATTTGGGGGTGGGGCACCAGAGGCCTCATTTCCGGTGGGGCTGGGCTAAAGGTTTATGTATATTTGTCTTCGGTCTTGGTTGTAATTTCAAGCCATAGAGTAGGGGGGAGTGCTCTACACCTCCCTAAATAATGATGGTTTGGAACAGGTGTAAAAAATGTATATTTTTCATATTTAAGAATATTTCTGTCAAGCTTTTGCTAGTTACTTAGTGCTGAAATGTCACGAGGAAAGTTATTATTACTTTTGAGTTATTTAATGTGAAAACTGAGCTTCATGTATGGAGTTGAGGATTTATTTCTCTGAAAGAGTATTTTTTATAGGAATAGGTTGTTGTGTCATTTTTCAATGGCAACGAAGTTTTGGATATTTTATGCAGAAAACATCTGCAGGCGGGAAGTGGGAAATTATAAATAACCGCAGGAAAATGTAAAATTGAACAACATGTCCCGGGTGACAGTTGATGAACTGTTTCCTGGAGACGACTTTGGTGATTTGCTGATTTCCGTGATGCCGTTTGTCACTTAAAGCCTGGTTTCCATACCGACGTGAGAAACGCAGAGATCAACGCAATCAAGACACAAGCTGCAACGCAGATAAATGGAAACATGTCAGACAGAAGTGTCGCCACAAACGCAAACCAGCCCCAGACGGATCGGCAAAGTTGAGCCTAGTGCAACTTTGTCGACTGTGTTGAGTCTCTGAGTAGACCCATACAAACACACCAGCTGGCATGACGGGCGTACAGCGATGTTTCTCTCGTTTAGTACCACTCATTTGATCCATTTTATCCTTATTACTAGCATATCCAACCCCAACAAAATAACTGATCATTAATAAACTACACCAGTATCAGTTTGGCTTCAAGAGGCAGCATAGCCACCTGAAAGGCATTTTTGGCGAAAATTTTCCGAGTTTCGGGCGCCATTTTGTTTAACTGTTTTGGTGAAATGACGTCGCGCAGCGTCTCTTCTGCGACTGTCGGCGCCTTGACGTCTTGCAGACCGTCTGCGTTACAAACGACCAACGGAAACCAGGCTTTATTTCGTCAAACAACAACACTGCTCATATCGCAGAATACTTTCATACATTATAATTCATCTGAGATATGAAAGGAGTCTCGCAGTGGGCTTTGCTGCTGTTTCATGGGGCACACATGCAGTTTTGGTTTTTCTTTTCTTAGGTTTTAGTATTAGTGTTACTGTATAATAAATTAATTTTTTTCAAACAAGTAGAGTCTCCTTAAATGTTCTCCAGAGGTTTACCCAATAGTTTGCTTTTTTCCCTTGGTTTTATCATTTGGAAATGTGGAACTTAAGCTTCTGTGTGTAGTCTGCAGACCGAAGAATGAGATTATTAGCTATATTGACCGTCGGAGAAGAGCCGAAATCAATCGTCACCCCAGTTCAAAGACTTGGCAGATCTTTATGGAGGGCTTGAACCGAGAGGTGTTGGAAGTATCCGTTAACCTCCCTTATCAGCCCTGTCCAGTACTATGCTATTTAGAAATCAAACAGGTTTCTCGAATGCCAACACTTACGACACTGTGCAAACGGGCTTGTGGGAAACTCTTTATTTGAATCCGAATGAGGGAAAATAACACTGATCAATGCGGTCGACCTCGTCTGCCGGCAATTGCGTACACAGAGTGATTATCGCCGAGTGACACTTAAGTGTATCAGAAAAGGCGGGAAATGACTTTGTGCCAACGATTGACTCGAATATTGTGAGAAAAGGGATGGACTGACCTTGCAGTGATTTCTTTGCACAGTTTAAAAGGAGCAACACGTCACAGATCACGTGTGAACGATGAACAAATCCGCAATGTTTAATTGGAGTGATAACAGGTCTCTGAGAACTTACTTATTCAAGGACACGAGCTGTTACAAATTATACAATGTGCAAAACTTCAGATAACCCGATTCGCACGGATCTAGGGAGTAACTAGTGAACCAAACTCAGAGTATGTAGATTGTCATCAATTCCAGTAGACAGTGGTCGCAGAGTCAACTACAATGGAAGGTAAGTCCTAGTTTTCCCCGAAAATAGCCGCGTGACAGTTTGGTTTTTTTTTGGAATGTACATTTATTTCCCTCTTTTCGTTTCGTCTAACGCAACAACTGTTCTTGTTTGTCCAACATCTCTTGTTTCTCGCGCTCTGTATAATTTAATAGACGTTCGATGCAGTAGGGAAATAAATGTTGAAAAACAAAATCGAATTTCTTCCCGGGCCATTTTGCGGAAACTCTTTTTCTGATTTGTGAATAAAGGGAGGTGAAGACAGACTTGTGTTTAACGCATTTTGACTCCACTTTTGAATCATTTGTCTCGATTACGAACCTTTGTGATAAAAGCATTGTTTATCGAATCAGTAAGCAACTTGCATTTCACATTCGAACAGGCAGGGGCGAGCTTGAAAAACAAAACAAAATACGAATAAGCCTGACTGATTAAATTTGGGCAGTGGGATGGCTTTACGGCCGTGGATTATTTGCGGGACCCCCAGTAATTGTTTTGATATTCTATCTTAGAAATGTCGAACAAAATAAGGTAATGATTCCGAATGTATCTAAACTTTCGTAACTAGGATACATTTTGAAGAGGGCACCTGGGGCCCCCCATTCTTCTCGAGGGGCGGGGCCACTCGGTGAGTTCAATGATCACGATTAAAATGTTGACAATGGCAGACAGTCGCCATCGTTTTCTTTTTTAAACTAACGCCCGGAGGGGCACACGGGAGGCACACGCCTAGAGCACAGAGGTGGGAGTGAGCCCCCATGCACCCACCCACCCCCCTTAGTTACACCACTGATTATGAATTGTCAACGTCGGATTTGAAGCGAAGATTCTGTCATTTCCACTTTTGTCGCCCTGGTTGCATCTCTCAGACAAACAAATCTGCTGAACTTCTTCTCAATATCACATAAGCCTTTCAATTTTGTTTATTTACGGGGGGGTATATGAATCAATGATATGGGGGTTTGTTGAATTTAGTCGAATTATTCAGAATCGGACCTCAAACGTTTTCAATTTTAGGGATTTCAGACGTTACTTCGTAAAGCCCTCCATAAAGATCTGCCAAGTCTTTGAACTGGGGTGACGATTGATTTCGGTTCTTCTCCGACGGTCAACATAGCTAATAATCTCATACTTCGGTCTGCAGACTACACACAGAAGCTTAATTTCCACATTTCCAAAATGATAAATCCAAGGGGAAAAAATGCAAACTATTGGGTAATAGTTCAATACATTTTCCCGTTTTGTCTTAGGTGTAAAGGCAGCAATCGAAGCGAAGAAAGCCGAATGGCAGAAACATTTTGAACAGAGCGACTTCAAATCAGTCAGCGAAATTTATTCGGTCGACTGCAAGCTATTGCCGCACGGGAAACCAACAGTCCACGGCCGGGAAGGTAAGCAGGGGTGGGGTGTGATAGAGTGGAGGTGGGGGTCGAAAAGGATCATCTTCATTCGGCCCCAAATGGTCGACCTTTAATAAATTCTTTGATTTTCGGGAAAAGAAATATTTCTATTTCAAAACAAGTGATGCTCATACTTCTGTTAAAAATGAGGAAAGTTAGTTCAATTGAAACAAACACGTATTTTACTGCAAGATATCCCCGAAGGACTGAGTGAACTTCGACAGAAAGGCAGTACGTCACTCAGTTGGGTAACCAATGAGATTGGGCCTATGACCGGAAATGCTGACGTCGTTTTTGAACTGGCCGACTACAAGTTTCTGAAGTCGGACGGGAGCTCTGTGACCGAAGGAAAGTAAGCATTTGGTGATACAAAAGCTTCAGCAGCCATGATTTCCCAAAAGCTCTTACGTTAAAGATAATAATTTATTCACCAATTTTTCGGGTTTTTTTTGTCTCAGGTAATTTTACAGGGTCAATCAAAACTACTAACAATGACCTAGTCCAGTGTTCTTAACAGCGCATGCCCAGACAAGCGCAACAGATAGACTAGCCTATCAGCGCAGCAACACACTGACTCACGCGCGTGCTTTCTTCCCGAAAGACCCTAGCTTTATGAAATAACGAAGTGGCTTAATACAGGGCAGTCACTAAAGACTATAAGACCTTAAATACCCCTTCATACTTGGCGTGAAAGTGAACTTGAATGAACATTGTGACATCGGATCAAATTTTTGTCTACACTTTTTCAAATATTTCATGACCACATATTTGCTTTGCTTTCGAGTTCACCTGTAATAGCTGGCTTTAAGTCCTCTTAAAATATAAACAAGCTTACTATACATGTACTATTCAGTTTAAACAGAAATACTTACAATTCATTCTCTTCCTTTTCAGACATGTCGCGATCTGGAAAAAGACATCCGACGGCTACAAGATGTACATCGATATCTTCAACGAAAATAACTAAGTCACATGAAACACGCTAAGTTAACTATCCCCATTCTCTGGCTTGGTTTCAACTCATCAGCCTGAAAAGACTTCGTAGCACGTTGAGTGCATGTACGTTCGAACTTACACTGAGATAGTTGAACACGTGTCCATGGTGGTTTGAAGAACACAGTACACCAATTTAAAATAAAGCTACTACGTATCTGCTGCGACGAGTAGTATTTTAATAGGTCTAAATAGGCTCTAGTCTCAAGTTATTTTATTTACCTAATCTACATTATTTAAAAATATATTATGAACTCTTCAAAATTCTCAGCATTGATAAGAAAATGGGTAGATTGTTACAGATATCTCGATATGAATCCATTCATGATTTCCTTACATCAGTCAAGAACTGATTTCACAGTTCAGTTGATTACACCTTTTGCTATGTTGGTATACTGGCTGGCCTACTTTTAATGCTATTTCTCGGACCTTTATCACTTTTGATAAAACACTGCGTCTCAAAATATAATTCGGTGACCCATATGAACCATTATAAAAGGACAAAGTAACAAAAGCATCAGCAACAAATAAAGGTATTCTATAAGGCAACATTTAAAGAAAAACCAACTTTTTCCCTCAGATTTTAGTAATCGTCTTACGGCATAAAAATAGACTATGAAAATTTACCATCTCCAGGCTAACGCCATGTAGTGCCTGTATAAGGTTTTTTTTATATACGTACGTCCTTATTTAAGATTTGACAGTGTAGGTCCTTACCAAGAGGCACATAGGATTTCTGCGACTCGTCCATGAAAAACAATTTATCCGTCCCGCAGGATTCCGGGTCAAATGCCTCCTTCACCAGATCTAATTTACGATACTTGTGTGTTTGGGTGGTTTCCATTTGATCCTTGACTCGGATGAACTTGGGGCGAGCGTAGGTAGGCAGGCGATTAGCCACTTCAGCATAGACTTCTTTCCACTCCAGTGTCTCGGTGCCATCTTGGAGGACAATGGCCGCCATACCAGCTCGTCCATCGTAGCCTTGGGTGAGAAATTTCCAACAAACACAAGTTACTGATTAAAACCATATCATCTGATTGAAAAAAATGTTTTTATTTTTCTCTCTTGTAATCAAGGAATAAATATGTATATATTAAAATCTCAACGATACAGTTTGGGTTCATGTAAACGCTCCACGAACGTTTTAACACTTTTGATTACCTGGTATCCTGACTCCATAAACGATGGCCTCTTTAATGTTCGGCAGATCTGTCAAAATGGCGGCCACTTCGGACGATGCCACGTTTTCGCCTTTCCATCTACATTCGGAGGGGACAATACAGCGGCAGATTGTATAATTTTAAACTCTGTGTTCAGTTTACGGCTTAAAGTGCAACGATGATATTAACAAGAAGACAACAACGATCAAAATGATCTCAGATCACCAAAACATTTCTTCCATAAATGCTGCAGGCGGTTTGACTAAAACAGATCCACGGAACTCCCCCTTTAAATTAGCTTCCCGAAACATCATCATGTCTCATTTGTTTTGACACCGTGAGGTTTCATGAATCTTTCAATGTTCATGGTGTTTTACCATTCATTTTAAAAATGTCAGATATTCGAACACAAGTAGGCCAAAATTTCAACTGGTGGCAATATGCGGAACGGGGTGTAATAAACTGGCATGTGTGACATTGTGAATAAAAAACCTAGAAAACGAACAAAAGTGGTAATGGTTTGCTCAGATCTGATAAGTTTCTGAGCTGTGAAAAGTGAAAAACGGGTTTTTTGAGTTTAAAGTGTTATCTCAGTTGCATTGCGCTGGCATCTTTAATGACAGTCTTGGGATTTTTTCTTTATTCTACATGTCAATAACTCGAAAATTTAAATAGCTACAGCTTGTCCATGGATTAAATAATCAAAACGTAACAAACAGTGCTGTAGGGAGATGTTTTCGTCAATTCCTCAGTACCCAAAAAATTGTCATGTTGATCTCTGCCATTCTGCCTTACTTTGCTTCACAAACTATGCCCAGTCATCCACGTCTATCTTGCAGCCTGCACCTACCTGAATGTATCTCCAAGTCTGTCCTTGAAGAAGACGTAATTCTTGCTGTCGATCATCATCAAGTCTCCCGAGTTGAAGTAGGCGTCCCCCATCACACGGACATTACGTATGATTTTCTTCTCGTCGGCTTCCTTACCGGCGACGTATCCTTCAAATTCAGCAGCTTTGCTGATCTTGGAAACCATCAGGCCCGTTTTACCTGTGGTGATATGAGAAACGAGGATTTACGATTTGAAGCGACTGAAAAGGCCCTTTCGTTTCACTTTCTGGGCTCAAAGACGCAGTTTTTGCTGACAGGTGGCTAAAAAACTATAAAAACCAAATAACAGCAACTACTTTTAACTGCTCTACGGAAACCTCCCATTTTTAACGCAAACAGCAAAAAATATCACCAATCAAATAAGAACATTGAACCAACTTTGGCCGGCCATATGCAACTATGACAGAGGTCTATAGACTGGCAACATGTCTCTTCCCGCGAAGCTGCCTGATACCATATTTAATCAAATGTTTCTATCATCCTCTTGTGTCGTCATGTTGCTTGCCTTTCTGTGTCAATTTACCGCATCAGTTTCTTAAACAAAGAGACAAAAGCAGTACATTCAAGAACTATTTAATAAGGTCGACATTTAAACGCAGCTGAAAAAATGAGCATCAAGAACTTGCACTTTTGGTCAATTTATTGTAACAGAATGGAAGTTTCCTGTCGCTACTCACTAAATGATAATAGTTTGATCTGAAATCAAATACCTTTTGGCAAAATGATGCATTTGCCATCCGGGCCTCTGATTGGCTGAGCTGTCTCCCAATCACATTCGATGATTTCAACATCGTTTAGTAACAACTTATTGCGTCATACGGTAAAAGAACCACACGAAAATATTTTAAGGCGTATTCGTGAGCAAGAACTTTCTAAAGGTTATAAAACTGCAGAGCGTGTGGCCAGGCTGGTTTCAGAGCCTACGAAAACACTTAACCCTAACCCTCCTCAATCCTCCACCTGTTGGAGGACTGAGGAGTGTTAGGGTTAAGTCTCTTCTTAATCACTCGATGGCTTGTATAAAGTATACAAAAAAGCAAAAGCCAATAAACCAGACGAACGTCATAATTATACGAGAGGCCATAGTGCGTGTTCAGAATGTGCAAGACAGTGAAAAAATGACAACGCCTTGAGTATATTTTGTTCTCTTAATGTGAAGGCACGAAGAAGGGAAATGGTGGATGTCTCACAGCCACTATGATGAAGCCTCTTCTCTCTTATACAAAGCTATTAGTTCAAACACCAATTCATGTATACCACTGCTTGAGCTCTTTTCTTATATTAGGTCCTATTTATGGGGAAAAGTTGATGCATGCTTCTCAAATGGACTGTGTGTGTTCATCACTGTCGCATATTTACCTTGGTCAGCGGGGAGTACGCCCCCACAGCCCCAACTGTCCCATCCGTGTTCATAAATCCACGATTACCCTCGCTCGATGCAAAGAACTCCCCGATCTGAGCTATACAAAACCGGTCCTGGAAGTCCGTCCAAATGTCTGTGGAGAGACCGTTACCAATAGCCAGCCACACGGAATGGTTGCGTTCCATGTCAGAGTCGCCCTGCAAGACGGGAACCAAACTCAAAAAGTCAATAAGCTCAACGTCACCACAACGTTGGCGTTCTTCACACGCCAGTTACATGTATTCGAACCCAAGATGATACGGCTGTTGCATCGCAGCAATACGATAACTCCCGTTTCTCAATGCCCTTTCTGTTTACAGGTTTAGGCAGTGAAAAGACAAACAACATTCTACTGGATTTGATCAGACCTTCTACTTGTGGATGGTTGTGATTCGAGAAGACTTGCTGCGTCGTTGTTCATATTTAATATGCGATAGTTGGGCCGGGGGGGCACGTCCCCACCACAAAAAAAGGATGAATGGAGATTGAACAAGGCTAACAAAAGCTTGCCCAAAAAAACACACCACTGGAAGTTGGTGTCCCCCCCCACTAGTAAAATCCTAGCTACGCCACTGATCCCCAAAGGTTGCATTGCTTAGGAGCATGATCGGAGTAATCGTCTGCCGATAACCCAAAATACCAACTAAGGCAATTCAAAAATAATGCCCCTAGTCGATACTACCATCTCCTTTATTGGCTGGCTCACGAATCCCTATTTGCACCACATATCCATCCCCCACAACGCATCCCCCACTTTTGCTTTCAGGCTGAGCTTGATTCCATTTTCTTTGACCACCTGGGATTTTGCCATCTGCACATCATGACAAAATAGCCGTAGCTGCGCCTCGCGAATCCCATACCTTTGGCTGTGCCAGTAGATATCGGCATATCTCTCCAATGTACTGGATTACGGTGACGTTGTATCGCCTCACATCTTCCCAGAAATGGCTTGCAGAAAACTTGTTGCGAATAACCATGGTACAACCTGCAAACACAGCAAGAGAGTTCCTCCAATTGTAGCTGTGTCACATCCGCGTGGGCAAGCGGATGGGTAGGTTCGGAAACATAGGTCTGGCCGAAGCCAAGCTCTTGCACCAAAATACCTTGAGGAAATCAAAACTTACTCGTCAAATCGCCTGTACTCCTCTTTTACTTGTGGTCCATCGACTATTTGTTAAACCCAAATATAAATCTAAAGTTGTCTTCAAGGGCATCTTAGGCCACGTCTGCTATCAGCATTTGTCCATGTATATCCAGTTTGGTGAAAACCTAGTGACTTATCTGTACGAAAGATCTGGAGGCGGCTTCATAATTTTTAGTTATAGACGCTGTAACTCTACCGCCCTCTCGTGCCTGATGTAACAAGAATTGCATACTTACCGGCGGTTATGACATTACCAACACCTATGACCATGCCAGCACTATGGAATAACGGCAGTGGAATATACATCACGTCCGATGAACTCAGGTTGAACATCTGTAGTAGGCTTCCTCCAACCATGACACGTTTCTGTGTCATCCGAGCTGCCTTAGGCATTCCTGGTATTTAAAGAAAGACACAAAATGTGGAAAGTTTCGAGTGTTTAGTTTAATTTCTGTTAATTTCCAAATATGTGGAAAGGCCAATTTTTTGGACACTTCTTTCAAATATTACTTGCCTGTTGTTCCTGATGTGTAGAAATAGAAAGCAGATTCTGAAGGCAAGATTCCCTTGCGTACGTCACGTGGTATCGCTTCGGTCGAGGCGAGAGGTGAGGCCAGATCAACCGGAAGGAATCCGTTGGGGAGAGTCTGTCCTTCTGGTTCTTGCATCATGAATACTTTGATGTCTTCAGCCTCGAGTGTAGTCAGGATTTCCTGTATCGCTGCTACCAGTTCGGCATCTTAGAAAGCGATTTAAACAATACGACACAGAATAAATTTATACAAAATGCTCTTTACTGTTTTATGCGTTTATCGATTAGGTTAAACTGTAAAATGAAGTTTTAAACCTGCCGCTTTTTAAGCCTCGAGCTGGACCAAGAGAGGGCTCAATAATCTTAGCAACGGAGGCTCCTTTGGTCGGAAGTAAACTTCGCTGGTTCACGAACAACTTGGAATGCACGCGTTACGGTCGCATCGCTACCAACGAAATGAACAATCCCGACCAATATGGCTCTTTCTAACACATGAGGGGGTGTTTCTACTCAGGCGGATATAGAGTCACTGGTCCTTTCTCGGGCCTTATGTAGACATCAATAACGTTCTAAGCCAGTTCGGTATTTCAAAACAAGCAAGGGTCATTCGGGAATAAAGCACGCGCGCAAGTCCGCGTACGTACTGGGTTGCGCAGTGATAGGGCAGACCTCGCACACGTACCGAAATGTCCTCCAACGCGCCCCATTTTGGACATGCGCTGCTCGAATAACAAACTTGCGAACACTTTGCCATGTTTGAACAGAATCATGTATGGATTTGTTCCCGTATGTACATGATGTAGACATAAATTAAACTTCGAATTCAATTTTTAGTCCGGCAACTTGCACTATTTTTCTGCTCAGGGTAAGTGACAGTGTTATCCATGATGCATTTTCAGGGAGCCAGTCATCTACTCGAAGGTTTGTCAATCTAGAAAAGCGCGCTTAGATTTTCTCACCGCCACCGCAGATGATGGTCTTGATTTTCCCGACTCGGATGCAGTTGATGAGCGCGTCTCCCCGCAGGCTGATGTTGAGATGGGCCCCTGTTGTCCCAAGCTTGAGGAGGGCGATCACGGTGGAAATGTAGGCTGGCTCATTGTGCATGAAGATGCCCACAATGTCACGGACCTGCAAAAGGAAATACAGGTATGCCTTTAAGGATGCATTGTCACTTACTGAAATCTTGGAACATAGGAAACGAGCTACAACCTAATTTGGATTCCCTTGAGACGCATGTGCATAACCAGAGTTCTTATTGTCTTGGGAAGACTTCTAAGATAACAGCCCATTTTGGAAAATGTTTAGAACACAACGCTATGCATTCATTATCTCTTTACACCGTCCTGGTGTAGGATTTAAAAAAACCAATTGTTCGTCTTAATTCTGCTTCAATGAGCGTTCCAACTGAGCTTTAAAGTATTTTCAGCTCTTTCCATCGATGCACACCCTTGCGTATGCTTTATTATTCACACGTTTCACAGGATTTTGATGACAAAGCTTAGGCCTAGTGGGAGTTTCATAACTGTTCGAGTTGTCAAGCTTGCCTTTTTAAACCCAATGTTTGAAGGTAATTATTACTAATATAATGACATTCTACATAAAAATAGCAATACTCCAGTCATGACTTTAGCCTCGGTTCTACATTTATATGCACCTTTACTGCATCTGTTTTCTGGAGGTAGTTCGCCATCTTGTTTGCAGCGTGGTCAATGTCACTGTAGGTATGCTTTTCATCCTTGTATAACACCAGAACTTTCTCAGGATTTCTCTTTGCATGGGACTCGAACACGTCCACTTGCAGGATTCCTTTCTCCAGGAGCTTCTCAGTAGGAGTGACCACCTTCCTGACAATCAGGAGGAACTGGGAGAGGTCGTGGAAGAAGGTTGGGTACGTCAGCTTAAAGAGCACCGCTAAAGCCGACACCCCACCGAGCACGCCACCCAGTAGTTGCAACAGAAGTCCCATGTTGGTCCCTAGCTCTTCCACTCGGCTAACAAGCGACAATAAAAGTCTGTGTAAAAAAATAGCAAAAGTCACTGGTTGCAAATTTAACAGGCACGGGAAAAAGGAACAGTGCCCCTTTTTTTACACTAGGTTCGAAAATGTGTCCAGGATTTTATTCTGAATGTTAGTTTGTTCACGGAATGGATCAACATCTCCCAACAGATAGTTCTATGGTAACCTGTTGTTTACAGCCTTTCAGTGGCAAAACAATCGAATATTTTCAGGAGTTAGAATTCTCATTTATAGAATTTGCAATGGGTGTGCGGGAACTGAGAGGAACTGTATTTTGAAATAATTTAAATGTTTGCTGTATCTCGTCTGGATTATGGACGGGGGATCAGGAATTAATACACTGACCGGGGGGAACCGTCCCGTCCACAAACATAAAAACAACAAAAAATAAATAAAATGGCA